GAGGCCACCATTGGCTTGAAACATTAGGATCGTCAGCGTTTTTTTGCCTTTTCGCTTAGGCATCTTGGACGCTTCCATCGGTCATGGCCCCCCTTTCCAGATCCATGGGAGGGGGCAGGGACAAGGGTCAAGACACCATCCCGGGGACGCAAACAGTTTGGCTCTTTCCCGATCGCCCTTCCAACACAGAAAGTAGTACCCGAGTGTCGGAATATTTTGCATTCGTCTTTGGATGGGCAGTTACTGCGAACCAGTTCAGACCCCAGGTGCGCAACACTGGGGCGAGGCGCTCCACGTGTGTCAGGCGCTCCACGCGTGCCAGGGGCGCGCCACGAACACCAGGCGCGCCAGGCGCTGCTGGGGCCAAAGCGTGCCAGGCACGCCTCGTGCGCCAGATGTGGCACGTGCGCCAAGTGTGCCGCATGCTCCAGCCGCGTCAGGTGCGCCGCGTTTGGGGCAGAGTATGCTAGGTTCGCCCGCACACATCGGGAAACATGCCGTCCTCCATCACCGCTACCGGAAACCAACGAACACTCGCGGCGGAGTGGAGTGGCCATCGTGATGCCTGCTGGGTCTGCACACAGCAGGCAAATATGCCAGCACCCCTGCTGTCCGTGTCAAAACAACAACGCGCAGTGATCTCGGGGTACCCGCACAAGATGCAGATTTAGCAGCGATGTTGAGTTGGTGTTGGTTCTGACAGGCATGGCGGCCCTGCGCACGGCGAGCCATATGCTGCCCCCCCCCCCCGCCGTCCAGTCAAATTCCAATGTAACGTGATGTTGGGGCAAGTTCGGGTTGCTTGTTGCAAGGGATGGAGGGGGTGGCACTGCACACAGCAGGCAACATGCTGCCCCCATTTGTCCCTGGCAAACAAAAACAATGAACAGTGATCGCAGTGCGTCCGCGCATGATCCAGAAGTTGGTGCATCGTGCACTTTGTACGGTTTGTTTGCCAGGGGTGGTGGGGGGCGGTCATGGTCTTGTGTATGTCACCGGCCGGGTGGGGGAGGTTGAGTATATCAAAAAATTAACAATGACAATCTCTTCTCCGAAAGGGAAGGAGTGGGGCTGAAGAGGAAGCGCCCTAAACATTTCTAAGCCACTCACGCCCCTAAGGGCTGGTGAAATTGGGTCTGGGGTAGGAGCGGCGAGGGGGGCGGGATGGTGCTGAGAAGGAGGGTTGGTCTTGAGGGGGAGAGGAGGGATACCATGTAGGGGAGGGGTCAGAGGGGGAGGCGGGGAAGCAGGAGGGGGAGGTGAGGGAGGGAGGGAAGGAACCGGGATTGAGAGGGAGAGGGGGGCAGGGCAGGAGGGGAGGAGGACGAGGAGGACGAGGAGGAGGAGGAGGAGGAGGAGGAGGAGGAGGGCGACACAGGGGGCGGGGTGAACGGGGCTTTGGTACGCTGCGGGCGGGGGAGGGGCCTCTGGCTGGAGCCGCCTGGCAGGGGGCGGCTCCCCCCCAGGGGACGTCCGCCCCGCCGCGCGCGGCGCCTGCGCCTCGAGGGGGGCAGCGGGAGGCCCCCCGAAGGGGCGCCTGCGGGGGACCTCGCCGTGTGGCCCGCCCGGGCTGCGTGCGCGCGCGGCGCACGAGGGGCAGGCAGGCAGGCAGGCAGTCTGCGGCGCCAGATCGCCGGGGACGCGGGGGAAGCGCGGCGAGGAGGCGGGAGAGGGGGGGGCAGGACGGGGAGAAGCCTGGCGAGGAGGAGCAGGGCGGGGTGGATGAGGTGGCCGCGAGTGTACCGATAGAGAGGTGGGCTAGAGGACGAGGACAAGGAGGAAGAGGAGGACGGCGATAGCGTCGATGAGGGCAGGCACATGGACGGGGAGACGGATGTGGAGCGAGGAGGAGGAGGAGGAGGAGGAGGAGGAGGAGGAGGAGGAGGGGGAGGAGGGGGGACCCGATGGAAATGGAGGGTGATGAGCTGGCAGGTCAGCATCGTGCGCAAGGACCCGCGCTCTCTAATGGCCTTGATCTCGCGCATGCGTGCGTCTGCCGTGTGTAGCTGACGCTCCGCAGTGAATTTTGTCAACTGCCCACTGAAGGAGGAGGAAGAGGATACGGACGACCACCAGGACGACGAGGATTGAGCATGCAGGGGGCTAATGGATTAGGGTGGAGGGGGATGATGAAGAGGAGAGCGGAGGAGAGGGAGGGCGGAAAGGGAGGGAGAAGGGGGCAATCAGAGGGGGAGGGCCAAGCTTGGTGTGCTCGCGCCATATATGACATCCGACCCTTCCCACCAATCCTCTCCCATGGCGCTGATTGTTTCTTTCTCCGCAGATGTGATATAGCGGGCCTGGACCTCCAAAGCAGCCCCCATCGCGTTATGCGCAATCGGAACAGGGCAAGGGCAGTTGCGTACATAAGCGGGTGAGCAGGAGGATAAGCAGGACGAACAGGAGGATGAGGAAGGATGAGGACGAGGACGAACGGCAGTAGCAGGATCTGGAATGGATCCAGCGGAAGGATCAAGAGGACAAGTGGAGGCGGAAGAGGGGAAAGAGAGAACAAGAGGACGGCGACAACGATGAAGGACTCGGATCCAGGAACGTGGCCCACGCTAGGGCGAGGGCGCCATCCTGAACGACGGGAGCATCGCCCCGATCCTAACATGTTGCCCGCGCCGCGGCGGCAGTACCAGTTTGGAAGGACCGAGAACGTTCGGGCGGGGAAAACACTTGAAGCAACCTACTCGGCAGCACCGTGGGCGTAAACTGAAAACATGCGCGAATGGGGCCGCGCCTCTCCCTGGCCATCGTCGGGACACTGAGGGAGGCAGCATCCTCATCGTCGAGGGCTCGTTAGTTTCAGTGAACCCGCATAGTAAGCATGGGCAACCTCCCCAAGGGCACCCTTCGGCCCATGCTTAGCGACTTTCGCTGGCCAACCTCGTTCGACCAACGTTGACAAAGGCCCCCAGTGCCCCTGCATCCTTACCGCGCATCCCTGTGATACGGGTTGACTGTAGGAAGGGGGGGGGCGAGAGGTCCACGGAGGGGGGCGGGCACGGGGACGAGGAGGGCGGGCGCGTGGCCGCGGCCTCCGCTCCGCCTCGCGCCTCCGCTCCGCCTCGCGCCTCCGCTCCGCCTCGCGCCTCCGCCCCGCCTCGCGCCTCCGCCTCCGCCTCGCCGCCTCCGCCTCGCCGCCTCCGCCTCGCCGCCTCCGCCTCGCGGGATCCGCGGCCTAATCTGACGCAACAGCCCCCCAATGGGGCTTGATCCTCTTTCATTCGGCGGCGAGCGAGGGGGGGGGAAGTGAGGAGGGGCGGGCCTTCTCAGAAGGCTCGGACGTCCACCAGCCTTCTGAACGGTTTTTAAAGCCCTCCCCGCAGACACAGAAGACGTCTCTCAAGGCGCGGGCTCCTAAGAAGTCCCGCCGCCTTCTGAGAAGGCCCTCTCCTTCCCATCCACCCCCTCGCTCGCCGCCAGTTCATCCTTCCGACGAAGACCTCCCAACAGTTGCCCTCTGACGTGTCTTGCCGCCCGACCCCGCCGCTGCCCCGCCCAGGAGTGCGAGGACCTCCGCTCGCAGCTCCGCTCCGGCGAGGGCCTGCTGCGGGAGCGCGGGCGGCAGCTGGCGGAGGCCCTCCCAGCCTCTGCCCCCGCCGGCCGCGCGCGGCCCCCGACGCGACTTACACCTCCTCTGGCTCATCCCCTGCCTCTCCTCGCCTCCCCTCCTCTGCGGCTTTCGGGCCCCAGCCTGGCTCTCCAGCGACCGTTCGGCGACGGCCCGTGCACCTCCAGGATCGCTCTTCGGCGAGGCAGAGAAAGACCACCCCGAGACCAGGAAGCCGAAGAGAGCAGACGACAATGCCCAAAAACCAAGAGCCGCGACCCCCTCCTCCTCCTCCTCCTCCTCCTCCTCCTCCTCCTCCTCCTCCTCCTCCTCACCCTTCTACTCCTCATCCTCTCCTCTTTCCTCCTCCTCCTCCCCTTCCTCCTTCCTCCTCCTCCCACTCCTCTCCTCCCTCACTCCTCCTCCTCCTCCCCTCCTCCTCCTCCTCCTCCTCCTCCTCCTCCCCCTCCACCACCCCTGCTTGGGCCCCTCGTCGGCCCGCTCCTCCACCCGCTACTCGCCGGACATCTCCCGAGGGGCACTCTGACCAGAACTTCGAGGCGACTGCAGCCGTGGCGACGAGGGCGGCGATAGCGGGGCCAGGGTGCTGGTTTCCATAACTGTTCGTCCTCCCTCCCTCCCCTCCTCGACCCCTGTCGTCGAGCTCCTCCTCGCCCCCCCCCCCCTGCACCTCGAAACCTCGATCCTCGACCCTCTCCTCTCCCCTCCTCGACCTCCTCCTCCTCCTCCTCCTCGAACCTCGCCTCCTCGCACACATTCCTCCTCCGACCACCTCCAGTCCCCCCCTTCGATTCTCTCCTCGCACGTATTCCTCCTCCGATCCCCTTCGCCTCCTCGGACCTCCCTCGACCCCTTTTCTCTCCTCCGACCCCCCGATCGACCCCGAGGCGCAGGATCCCCTCCCCTCGACCTCCATCGACCCTGTTCGAGACCCTTCCCCTCCTCGAGCCCTCCCTTCGACGCCCTCCTCGAGCCCTCCCCTCCTCCCTCCCTCGAGCCCTTCCCCTCCCTCGACCCGCCTCCCCGACGCCCCCCTCCTCCCCGGCCCCCCCCTCGAGTCGAGAAATGGAGCGGCGGAGGGGCGGCGACGCGGGGTCGCGGACCTTGACCCCTCCGCGACCCCATCCGCGATCCCCCCCCCGCCCAATCTGGAGTAGCGCCGACGCGTAGCGTAGGCGCCGCCTCGGACTGGGTGTTGGCGTAGCTCGGTGCGCCCGTGCGCGCTTTTTCAGCGGCGTGTGCGTGACATACCTGCACTGCCCTGGCTCGGAGGCACGGCCTCCCTCCATGTCTGCGCGGCTAGCTTCGGTCCCGTCGGATGCCAGACCTTGACTGTCCCTTGTCCCCTCGACCCCGAGGCGCAGGCCGAGGCGCAGGAGCAGCGCCGCTTGGCCGAGCACCTCGGCGGCGAGGCCGAGGCGCTGCGGGCCTCGCTCGGGGAGGCGCCCGGGGCCGCCGCCGCGGCGCTCCGCGCGCCGCGCGCCTCAAGCCTCAAGCCTCCCTCCTCTTCCATCCCCTCCTCTTCCCCCCTCCTCCTTTCTCCTCTTCCTCCTGCTCCTCCTCCTCCTCCTCCTCCTCCTCCTCCTCCTCCTCCTCCTCCTCCTCCTCCTCCTCCTCCTCCCCCTCCGCTTCCTCCACCACCTTCTCGTCCTCGTTCCTCCTCTTCCTAACTCCATCTCCTTTTCTTTCTCCCTCCTCCCTCCACCCTCCACTCCTGCTGCCACGGCTTGTGCTTCGACTCCCGTCTCAGCACCCAGGGGACGTGGCTTGGCTGCTGACGCGAGCCACGGGGCCCAGGGCCCTCGCTCTGCGGCCGCGTGGCTGGCGGGGCTCGTGTGCCGTGCCCCTCCAGAAACGCGGGGCTGGCGGGGCTCGTGCGCCGTGCCCCTCCACAAAGCATGCACTGCTCATGGATGCGAGAGCTCGCGGCTCACCATGGTCAAGTGCCAGCCAGGGGCTCCTGCGCGGATCGCTGCAGCCTGACCCCCCATGCAGACCGACGTTCGCGCGTCCGCGACCCCAGGACAGGGCGGGCACGTTCGTAACCTGGCGGACGCGCAGCTGCTCATTCACGAAGTGCCCCAACCAGTCATAGGACAGGGCGGAGTGATCTGGGCGGCGTGTGGCGACTTGCGAAAAGCCGTCCCGAGGACGTGGCGGGGCGGCCTGCTGCACTCGCTGTCGGGCCACGTCGGCCTCCGGAACGGGGCGTGCTTCCCTTGCCGGGAAGCGTGCTTTGACCGGGACTCTGTGCACGTCCGTTGCAGCGGCGTGCTCGTGGAGCCGCTCCCCGAGGGCATCGCACGCTGGAGCCGCTGCTACGTTTCGTGTTGGGCGAGCTGACGCGGTCGGTCTCGCCTTGCCCAGGGTGTGAAAGTCGTTGAAGAGGAAAAGAACATCAGACGATGTGTTGCCCTCGTTGAATTTCTTACGTGATGGTCATTAACAATAGGATTCGGCGTGGGGGCCTCCCCGCCGGCGGAGTGGACGGGCCGTCCAGTGGCTGCGCACAGGCCGTCCCCGTTCCGTGTGGGTCCAGGAGTCGGCGACCGCTCTGTGCCTGGGGCGCCCGCTCCCGCCGACGGCCTCCCTGGATGCGAGTGCGGATCCGGAGGCCTCGACCTGGACCAGGTCGGCCCCCAGGCGCGCTGCAGCGACGCGCCACGCTGATGACCCGGTGCTGTTGGCCTCCAGCCGGCGTGCAGCTCAGGCCCTTGCTCGACGATCTGGCCGAGCGAGCCTTGCGTCACCCGGCCAGCCCTCGCACCGAGGATTCGCAGCACGCGGTGGTCTTTCCTGGGGGGCTGGCTGCGGTCCGGGGCGGCGCAGGTTTCCCCCCTTGCTGGTCCTGCAGCTCAGAGGGCATCCCCCCGTACATGCTTGCGTTGTCTCCCAACATGGGGCGTGGGGACCTCGTCATGGCAGCCCTTTGGCGCCAGCGTCTTGGCGCCAGCGTCCTCCCACATGGCGCCCCTCGCGGGCCTCGCTTCCAGGTGCGACCCTCCGCTGGCCGCCGCAGAGGCCATCTCCAAACCGCAGACCGAGGGTGGCCTCCACTTCGTGCGATGGCCCTTGGCGGTTGACGAGACCAGCGGGGGACGCGCACGACGCGTCCCGCGAGCGATGGCCGCAGCTCCTCCTGGTTCTCCCGCCCTGGCGAGGTCGCCGAGTTGACGTGGGCGAATCGGGCTGGGCTCGGTCTGGGGCGGGCACTGCTGTTGATGGGCCTGTTTTCTACCACCACCACCCACCACGATAAGTTCGAGGGGGAGGGGGTCCTCCTCCTCCTCCTCCCACCTCCTCCACCTCCTCCTTCTCCTCTTCGTCCTCCTCGTCCTCCTCCTCCTTCCCCCTTCCAACTTATGGTGGTGGTGGTGGAAAACAGGCCAATCAGCTGTCGTGGAAGTCGCATCCCGGCGCTCATCTGTGTGGCCCTCCTGGACATGGAATTCTAAAGGGAGGTCTTCCTTCTGGCGCACGGAGACGTCGGCCAGACCTGGGCCCAGGTTTCCTTGGACCTCATCACCGAGTGGGGCTTGCCTGGGTGGCCCGTGTGGCTACTCTCCAACGGAGGACGCCCGCTGGAGACTTACAGGGCGGACATCCGCGCTCGGGTGGACGCCAGGTGTTTTGCTGCGTGGGCTGCCGCTGACGCGCAGCACGCGCCCCCGCGGCTGCACGCAGAGCTGCGGCCACAGATGTCCCCTGACGTTTCTGGGACCTTGGGGTCCGGCCTGAGGTGGGACTTGCTTGTGGCGCAGCGCGCTCTCACGAGGCTGCGCGGCGGGTTCCTGTCGCTGAGCCACGTGCAGGGCCGGCAGTCGTGGGCCCAGAGGCGGTCGTGCATCCTTTGCGGCGCTGCGCAATCCAGCCTGCCACGACTGCCCGCTTCGGCACGGGAGTGCGCGCCAGCCCTGCTAGGCTGTTGGCTGGGCCAGGCGGGCTACGCTTAAGCGCTGCTCCTGGCCGCAGAGGTCAGGGGTGGAACGCGGAGTGGTTTGGTTCTGGGCGAGCTGAGGCTAAATAGACCGTCCCTCCTCTTCCCCTCCTGCCCTCATCTTTGATTTCTCCCGCCCCTCCTCGCCCCTCGCTCTCCGCCTCCGTGTTCGCTGCCGTCGGCCGCGTCGTCGTAGTCGTCGTATTTGTCGTCGTCGTCGTCCAGTCGCGTCGGCTCGTCGTTGTCGTCGTCGTCTTTGTGGTCGTCGTCGCGGTCGTGACCGCCGCCGCTGCTGCTGCTCCCGCCGCCGCCCCCCAAGGGAGGGCCCTGACCTTGATTTCTCGCACAGGCTGGCACTTGCGTCGTGCTTCGCCACGCGGCGAGCTAGGGCTGGGCTGATCCCCCTTGCCTGTAGCACTGCGGGCTCCCGCTTGGGCCCTCCCGCGCCCCCGCGTCTCCGGCTGCGGTCGCCTAAGTGAGCCGTTGGGGGCCCATTGATGCGCACCAGGCCTGGAGGGTTTCTCCGAAGGGCTCAGGCGACCGTCCTCCGCCTCCTCCTCCTCCTCCTCCTCCATCTCCCCCTCCCCCTCCTCCTCTTCCTCCTCCTCCTCCTTCTCCTCCTTCTCCTCCTCCTCCTTCGCCTTCTCCTCCTTCTCTCCTCCTCCTCCTCCTCCTCCTCCTCCTCCTCCTCCTCCTCCACCTCCACCTCCTCCTCCTCCTCCTCCTCCTCCTCCTCCTCCTCCTCCTCCTCCTCCTCGGGTCGCCTACGGCCCCGGGGGAAACCGTGCAGCCAGGCCCCCCTCGATGACGTCTCTTCTCGACCCCGGGGCCCGCCTGGGGTGCGTTGGGGCTTTTGGAGGCGGACCCTGCCGTGGGGAGCGGTGTGGGGTGGGGGGTGTCAGAAGCGTCCTCCAAGAGCCAGGCTTGGATCCGCGTCCTCGGCGGCCGACCCGAGGGTCCACGCGGGGGTGTATTCTCGGGGTTCGCTGCGTGGCTGTCCGTCGTGGGGGCCCTCCAGAGCCCTTCCTCCCTTCGCCGGTCTTCCCATGAAGGCCGGGGCTGGGGCAGGCAAGGGTGTCTCGGGATGCCTGCTGCCCGGCAGTGTCGCTAAAGAGGCCGTGCCCGCGGTCTAAAGCGCGACCCGAAAAAGGGTCCAACCAACCAAGCAACCAACCAATCTCTTCCTCCTCCTCCTTTTCCTTCCTCTTCCTCTCAAACTCCTCCTCTTCCTCCTCCCTCCTCCCTCATCCTTCTCCTTTTTCCTCCTCCCTCCTCCCTCCTCCCTCCTCCCTCTTCCTCCTCTTTCTCCTCCTTCTCCTCCTCCTCCTCCTCCTCCTCCTCCTCCTCTTCCTCATCAACTCCTCATTTTCGTTGAGCCTCGAGCCTCCTCCTCCTTATCTTCCTTTTCGCTGCAGCGGCGCGCACACTCCTTTTGAACAGTTGCAGCAATTTCAAGAATGGACGGCGGGTGGTGTTCAGAATATGGTTTTCGCTTCAGCGCCGCGCGCACTCGTTTCTTCATTGCGAATGAGGGCGGGTTGTTTTCAAAATACGGCCTTCGCCTCAGCGCCGTGCACATTCGTCCGACAAGTGCGCAACAGTGTCTGGGGTGGAGGGCGGCGGGTTTCTACATGTTGTTTCGCCATAGTGCCGTGAATCTCCGTCCTGAATGTGTGGAGCAGTTGCAAGTCTGCAGTCTTGGTCTTCATTTAATCGTGGATCTCGCTGTTGCGCCACGCACATTCGATGGGAAATGTTGCAACATCTACAAGTGCTCGCATGGTGAAGTCCTGTTCTCGCGCGATTGAGGATTGTCAGGGCGCAAACGTCCCGCTGACTTGCGGTGTTGAAGCTCCAGGGATGGCGTTCCAGCGCGTTTTAGGATTGCCAGGCCGCAGCAGTCAAGTTGATCTGCGACGATGGAGTCCATTGAGTTGTGTTCTGGCACGGTCTCGGATGGCCAGGAGGCAACAGTCTCGTTGAATCGCGTTGTGCAGTCCCAGGAATTGTGCTCTAACATGGTTCAAGTTAATCAGACGGTTGTTTTCCAATGGGGCATCTGCACCAACAAACATGTATTGTAGGGCCTCCTTTGGAGAGGGATTTTGGAGGGAGGGTTTCTTGCAACATCGTTGATGCGACTTGGGTTTACACTGGTCCTTCTCCTCCTCCTCCTCCTCCTCCTCCTCATCCTCCTCCTGCTCCTTCCCGTCTCATCCCTCTTCCGTCCGCTTCCCTCCCTTCTCCTCGTCCTCATCTGCCTCCTCCTCCCTCTTCTTCCTGCTCCTCCTTCCTCCTCCCTCATCATCCTCCTCTTCCACCCGCCTCCTCATCCTCTTCCTCTTCGCTCTCTTACTCGTCATGAATACCATCTTTCTCCTCATCGTCCCAGGGAGGAAGAGGAGGAGAAGGAGGAGGAGGAGGAGGAGGATCGGGACGTTAACGACGACGTCGAGGACGAGGGGGCGGAAGAGAAAGAGGAAGAGGCGGATAATGACGAGGAACAGGAAACATGCAGGAATAATGGTGAGGAGGGTGGGGAGGAGAATGTCGGAGGAGGACGGGTGAGGAGGAAGGGGGTATGGAAGGAGGAGGAGCAGGAGTCGTGGACGATCCCAGTGCCTCCGAAAAAGTGCACGCGCGGTTGAAGTTCAGACCATGTCTACGGCTTCCGTGTGTGTGTGTGTGTGTGTTCTTTCTTCTCTCATGTTTTGTCTATGTCGCCTCTTTTTCTGCCCTCCCCTCCCCTCCGCCTTTGCGTCTTCTTCGTTCCCCAGTATCCCGCCCCCCCCCCGCCTTCTCTTCCCCCGCCCCTCTCCACCTCATTGCTCCCCCCTTCTCCTGCTCGTCGTCGTCGCAATCCTCGTCCCCGTCCTGCTCATGGCCATCTTCGCCCTCTCCTCCTGCTTCTTTCCCCCCTCTCCCCTCCCCCTCCTCGTCCTCGTGCTCCTCCCCTCCCGTTTCAAGCGGGGGCCCCTTTGGGGTGTTCAGAGTTGCAGTTGCAGAGGAGTGGTGTGCACCGTGTGACAGGAACGCCCTTCTGGGCTGCCCCTTTCTTCCGCTGCACCAGGCACGCTGTGGAAGCCTGCCGGTGCTGCTGGAAACATTTATTTTTGTATGTTCCCACAGGTGCAGGGTGCAGTCGCCCTGGAGGCTTGTGCAGTGCTGCCCTGGGGCCGAACACATCCGTCCCCTGCTATTCGCCTCGCCTCTCCTTCCTCGTGCTGCTGGAAGCATGTCTCTGTGTGTTCCCACCGGTGCAGGGTGCAGTCGCCCTGGAGGTCAGTGCAGTGCTGCCGTGGGGGGGCGAACACATCCGTCCCCTGCTACGTAGTGGCCTCGCCTCTCCTTTCTCAGCCAGGCCGCCGAGCGCACACCCGCTCGTGGCGTCACCTCGCCTATCCTCCTCCTCCTCCTCCTCCTCCTCCTCCTCCTCCTCCTCCTCCTCCTCATCATCATCATCATCATCATCATCATCATCATCATCATCATCCTTCCTCCCTCCTCCCTCCTCCCTCCTCCCTCCTCCCCCTCCTCCTCCCTCCTCCCCTCCTCCTCCTCCTCCTCCCTCCTCCTCTCCTCCTCCTCCTCCGCCTCCCCCTCCTCCTCCTCCTCCTCCTCCTCCTCCTCCTTCCTCGCGCCGTCGAGCGCCCATTTTTCTGTTGAGAGGGGGGGGCTGCCCCCGCGGGAGGCCGAGGAGCGCAATGCCGAGCAGCACAGGCGCCTTCGCGGGGCGCCGTCGGGCGAGGGTGGGCGGGAGGACGACGCCGACGAGGGCGAGGGCGAGGGCGAGGGCGAGGATTGGTGGGGGAGGAGCAGGAGGAAGAGGAGGAGGAGGAGGAGGAGGAGGAGGAGGAGGAGGAGGAGGAGGAGGAGAGGAGAAGGTGGAGGAGGTGGAGGAGGAGGAGGAGAATGTGAAGGAGGAGGAGGAGGGGGGAGGGGAGGAGGAGCAGGAGGGAGGATGAGGAACGGAAGGAGGAGGAGGAGAAGAAGGAGGAGGAGGAGGTGGAGGAGGAGGAGGAGGAGGAGGGGGAGAAGGAGGCGGAGGAGGAGGCGGAGGAGGCGGAGATGGAGGAGGAGGCGGAGAAGGGGGAGGAGAGCGAGAGCGAGGAGGAGGAGAATATTGAGGAGGAGGAGAAGGAGGCGGAGGAGGAATAGGAACACTTGAGGAGAACGGATGAATTGCGGAGGTGTTGGAGGAGGCGGAAAAGGAATTGAGGAGGAGAAGGAGGAGGAGGAGGAGGATAACGAGGAGGAGGAGGAGGAGGAGGAGGATGATAACGAGGAGGAGAAGGACGACGACGACGATGATGAGGAGAAGCGAACTCCGAGGTTGACAGCGACAGCAACAGGAGAAGGAGGAGGAGGAGAAGGAGGAGGGGGCGGAGGAAGGTGGGGGGGGGGAGGCGGAGAATATGTAGGCGTGAGGAGGATGAGGAGCACATTGTGTGTGAGTGTGTGTGTGTGTGCGTGTGTGTGTGTTGTGTGTTGTGTGTGTTGTGTGCGTTGTGTGTGTTGTGTGTTGTGTGTTGTGTGTTGTGTGTGGTGTGCGTTGTGTGTTGTGTGCTATGTGTAATGTGTTGTGTGTTGTGTGTGTGTGGTGTGTGTGATGTGTGTATTGTGTGTTGTGTGTGCTGTGTGTATGTATGTGTGTGTCTGTGTGTCTGTGTATCTGTGTGTCTGTGTGTCTGTGTGTCTGTGTGTCTGTGTGTCTGTGTGTCTGTGTGTCTGTGTGTCTGTGTGTCTGTGTGTATGTGTGTATGTGTGTGTTGTGTGTTGTGTGTTGTCTGTTGTGTGTTGTGTGTTGTGTGTTGTGTGTTGTGTGTTGTGTGTTGTGTGTTGTGTGTTGTGTGTTGTGTGTTGTGTGTTGTGTGTTGTGTGTTGTGTGTTGTGTGTTGTGTGTTGTGTGTTGTGTGTGTGTGTTGTGTGTTGTGTGTTGTGTGTTTGTGTTGTGTGTGTGTGTGTGTGTTGTGTGTTGTGTGTTGTGTGTTGTGTGTTGTGTGTTGTGTGTTGTGTGTTGTGTGTGTGTGTGTGTGTGTGTTGTGTGTGTGTGTGTGGTGTGTGTGTGTGTGTGTGTGTGTGTGGTGTGGTGTGTGTGGTGTGTGTGTGTGTGTGTGTGGTTGTGTGTGTGTGTGTGTTGTGTTGTGTTGTGTTGTGTTGTGTTGTGTTGTGTTTGTGTTGTGTTGTGTTGTGTTGTGTTGTGTGTGTGTGTTTGTGTGTGTTGTGTTGTGTTGTGTGTGTGTTGTGTGTGTTGTGTTGTGTTTTTGTGTTGTGTTGTGTTGTGTTGTGTGTGTTGGTTGTGTTGTGTGTGTTGTGTGTGTGTGTGTGCGGGTTGGTGTGTGTGTGTGTGCGGGTTGGTGGGTGGGTGGGTGGGTGGGGGTGGGTGGGTGGGTGGGTGGGTGGGTGGGGGGCGGCTCCTCCGAGTGGCGCGACACAGCTCACCGAGGTCACTCGGAGCCCCGCGGAGTGGCGCTTGGGTGCCAGGCCGACGCGTGACCCACCTACCACTTACGCCACCCGCGGAGCTCATGGCCGCGGGAGAGCATGCATCGCAGCATTCTCCTGCGGCGAGAGGGCGACCGCATGGCCCTCCCACAGGCGCTGGCTACAGTAGGGGTGCTGGCCCAGCAGAAGCGTGCCTCGCCTGCACTTGGCCTGGGAGTTGGCAGGCTCACCCTCACAAGTCTGAAGGATCTTCTTGGTCCTGCCGCTTGAGAAGGCCCCGCACAGGCCTCAACACAGAAAACTGCCAGCACGCAAGAGCACACGGCGGCGCAATGGTAGCTGCCGGGGGGGGAGCCTTCGGGGCGGGCGAACATCGGGCAGCCCTCGGTGTCGGGAGGGCGTGTTGGGAGTTTTTCGCCCGCCTCATCACGAGCGGCGTCAAGCCGAGGGCACACGCAGAGGCGATGGTGCCGTGTGCCCGCGGGCCCGACGGGGCTGGCCCTCGCGCAAGTCGCTGCGCCCGGCCTTCCAGACCTGCTCCAGGGTCCAGAAAGATTTGCAAGCAAACGCATTGATGGACTGACTGCTCACGCTCTGGGTTGTTCGTGCGCTGGCGGAGGGTGGCGCGGACTGGTTGAAGAACGGGCCGAACAGACTCGAGGCCCCTCTCCGCAGCCTAAGGCGTGAGTTCCAAGACCTCCAGTCTGGTGGCCACCAAGGTCTTCGGGTTCATCGGGGCAAGCCTACTGAGGTCTAGCAGGGCCTCAGAAAAAGTGAGGGACGTATGGTACGCTGCCCAGCTCCACCCCTGCAATGTGGCGAGCACGGCCGATGCTGGTCCAAACACTTGGCACCACCGATTCACGAGGGGCTTGGCGGCCAGCTTCTTACTAGCTTGCTTTCAGCCTGCTTCAAGGTCCGCGTGGGACCCGTCATCGAAGAATGCGGAGGCCCTCGGGGAAACAGGCTTAACATTTGCGCCAACGAGGAGCACATGGGGGAGGATAGGGGGGTTGTGGACGTGGTGGCAGGGGGGAGGGCGACGCGGAGCAGGAGTAGCCGGAGCACTGCAGGGAAAGCGCCGCGGCTCGCCCTCTCAACTCGACTTCCTTGTCTCGCTCGCTCCGTACAGTCGGACCGAGGTATCATGTCGAGGTCGGTTCGGGGAGGGTGCCCTACATGTTTTTCTTGCTTGTTGGACGTTGTCGGGCATCCTGGGGGAGGGCACCCCTGAGTGTCTTTCACTTTGGGCCGGCGGAGGGCCTCGAATGCTTGGAGGATGTTCTGTCGGCAGCGACCGCCCTGACGTCCCACCCTCCGTCCACCCTTCAGTCCCCAGGACCGTCCGAGCGGGGCACGGTTCCTCCCGCGTTCTGCCTGCTGGCGCGCAGGATGTATCCCTGTGTTCTCTCGGGCCGGGCGAAAGGGGGGGATTGGGAAAGGGGGGGTTGCGAAATTTGCTGCATGCAGCTGGTTTCGGCCTCACCGAGGGGCCCATTCCTCGATACATCGGCGCCTCCCGGCGCCGGGAGGCGCCGGGAAAATCAGCTACGTGAGCTGATTATCAAACCCCCCCTTTGCTATCCCCCCCTTTCGCCCGACCCGATTCTCGCTCTTCATCTCCGTGTGGATTCGCAGGACGTCTCTGGACTTTGCAGGCTGGGGCTCCCGTGGCAGCGATGGCCTTCTTCCCAAGATCGGCGCGCTGCCCCGAAGCTTCGGCATGGCGTGCCGGCCCGCTCGCGGAGCACACTTTCTGCGTCCGATGCCCTCCGCGCCTCTGTCGCCACCCTGCCTTCCCCGCCTGCGCCGTCCCTTTTGGACCCCCCCCACCCTTTCCGCTCCTCTTGCTCCTGCTCCTGCTGCTGCTGCTGCTGCTGCTGCTGGGTTTTTCCGTTCTCGTCCTCCTCGTCCTCTTGGCCATCCGCCGCTTGCTCCCCCTCACCAGAGACAAAAGTACCACTACCACCAGCTAGGGGGGTGGCTGTCCCACCCTCTCGAGCTGGTGGCACCTCGTTCTGGGCATGCCTCCAGAGAGTGTCCGGAAGGAGGTGCCACCAGCTCGAGGGGAGGGAGCGGTCACCCCATAAGCTGGTGGTAGTGGTACTTTTGTCTCTCCTGACCCCCGCTGTGCACAGCTCCCTGTCCTGACTGTGCCCAGCACGATAGGGTCGTGCTGGGGATTCGGGCACGTGCCGGGGGATGGAGGACAAGTCAGCGCTATGGGAAGGGAAGGGCGGGAGGGGCAGCTGGCACGCGCACCTAGCTTTTCCCTCGTGCTGGCCTGTTCTCCTCAAGTTCGTCCTTCCCCTCTCCCTACATCCATTGGCCTCCTTCCCTCATGTCCTTCCTCTCTCTGTTCTCACTTCATTCATCCTTTTTCCCTTGGTCTTTTCCATCCTCTCTCTTGACTCCCCCCTTTCTCACTTCCTGCCGTCCTCCTCCACACTTCCCTCCCCCTTTCCCCCGTCCTCCCGTTTGTCCCTCCCCGCGCACCCGTCCATACTTCGAGTGCTGCTCTCGGCGCTCTGCCCCCCCTGTCGCTCCGATTTGCGCGCTCTCGGCCCGTCTCTGGTCATGTGTCTGCATCCGTTGCGCTGTTGGTCGCAGCCGTCCCCCCGTCTTTCCTCCTCTGCTCTCCCCTGGTCGGCCTGCTCCTCCTGCTCTTGCCGCGGCTCCTCCGCCTCATCATCCTGCTACTCTTTCTGCTCCTCCGCCACCGTCTTCTCTGCCTCCTCTCATCGAGCGCGTTCCATGATTCGCAAAGTGCCTACTCGCAAACGTCAAACAATCAGATGTTGTCCGATGCAATGGAGCTTGTTTGCCTCGATGCAACGGATCCAGGCGATTAGCGAGTAGCTACTCTGCGGGTAATGGAACGCGCTTGTCCATCCTCGCCCAACGCACAGAGCCTTCCCCTCCTGATTGTGCATGGCGTGATGGGGGACATGTCGAGGACCAAGGTCATCCACGACACCCCCAGCTGGCGCCTTGATGATACGCCAGCGTAGTGGGAAGGAGGTTGGCGGGAGGGGTCAGGATTTCAGATGGGGCGCGAGCGCGCCCAGCTTGCCCTACCACGCCTCTCCCGCCGCCTCCGCCGTGCTCCCTCTCCGTCCTCTCCCTCCCCCCCCCGCCGGATGGGAGCAGAGGGAAGAGCAGGAGGAGGATTCGGAGGCGACGACAGGGGCGAGTAGCACAGGGGGGAGCAATACATGTTTTCAGAATTCAGGGGTGCCGATGATCTATGTCTTCGACAAGGCTCCTGGGCGAAGACGTGCAATGCCCGCCCCTGGGCTATTCGCCGCTATCGTCGCCGCCGAAGGAGGAGGATGTGTCTTCCCATCCCCCTCGCCCACCCTCGTCCGGATCCTCGGCAGCTCCTGCCTCCCTCGACAGGGCCGTGGTGTCCGAGCAGACCGTGTCCCTCGCGCGCGCGGCCACGATCGAGGAGCTGAGCGGCAAGGCGGGGCCCTGGGGGTCTGCGCGTTCGTCGTCGTCGCTTTCGTGGTACCGTTTCGTCGTCGCAGTCGCCGCAAGCGGAGGGAGGCTGAGGAGGGAGCGTGCAGAGGAATGAGGGGACAGGGAGGAGGGAGAACGAAATAGATCAATGCGAGGGAGGCAGGGGGATGTGGAGGAGGAGGAGGAGGAGGAGGAGGAGGAGGAGGAGGAGGAGGAGGAGGACTGAAGAGTCAGGAGAGTCGTGGAAGGGACAGCGTGGAAGAAGAGAAGGTTACCAGGGAGGGGCGAGGGCGAAGTGTGAGGTTGAGGTGGACCAGGACGGAGAGACGGAATTGGAGGCTGAGGTGGACAGGAGGAGAGAGAATGAGGAAAAGGAGAGAGGGCAGAGGATGCGGAGGGAGCAGGGAGGAGAAAGTATGCGAACGGAGGAAGCAGGTTGCCTCTTGCCGTCCTTGCATACCCCCTTGCCCCTCTTCAATTCTCCCCGTCCCCTCCCCTCCACTCCTCTCCAGTGGAGGATGGCGACAGGAGCTCGAGAACAGCGGCCGCCCCGCGCATCGTCCCTCCATCGAGTGAAGCTCCGCGGAGTCGAGGCGGCGACGAACGTCGACCACGACAGCGACGACGGCGACCGCGACCGCGATCACGACCACGACGACCACGACGGCCACGACCACGACTGCAGGGACGACGGCGACGACGACCTCGACCACGACGACGACGACCACATCTCAATGACCATTACGACGACGGCCGCGACCTTGACCACGGTGACCACCACGGCCACGAACACGACGTTCACCACGAAGCCCACGGCCTCCCAGGGCCAACCTGCGATCCGAGTCGATGCGCTTTGAGTCGCGTGCGTGGCCCGCGATTCCGATTCGGGCCGATTTGGCCAGGGCCCGCCAGAGCCAGCCTCGGCAGTTCGGTTTCGATTCGATTCGAGACGATTTGTTGGCGACTGGATGCGTCTCCGATCCGATTCGATCCGAATTTGCGATTCGATCCATCTCGAGCCAATTTGGCGCCTCTTGAGCGCCTCATGGAGGCCTCTTAGGGGCCGCTTGGGGCCTCGTGGGGGCCTGTTTGGGGCAGCCGAGACCGACCGAAACCACGGAGTGGGTAGTCTGCAGCCCGGCGGCGGAGACGCGGCGGCGGCGCGGCGACGGACCGAGCCGAACCGACCGAGGGCAGCCGACGTTGACAGAGCCGACCGAACCGAACAAGAGATGAAGCCAGAGCGATAATCAAGTCGGGTGGTGATGAATCGAAAATCTCCGAGATCGGAAGGCTCGGATTTTCGCTTCGTGTCGCCCCCTGGCACCGTCTTCGGGGCCGTGTTCGGCAACTCTTGAGCCGTGTTGGGGCTCTCTGAGGGCTCTCTTGGGGGCCCTTTGGGCCGTCTTGGAGTAGTCTCGTGGTCCTGTTCGGGCGTCGGGAGGCCGAAAAGGCGAGAACGCTAAAGCCTGTTAAACAACTAAGGCAGATACATGGTGTTTGCCTCTTGGGGCACTCTTGGAGCGATCTTTCGGCGACTCGAAGCACTCTTGGATCGTCTTCCAGCCACGGAGGGTCCTCTTGGACCGTCATGGGGCTCTCGCGGCTACGAGAAAGTCACGCCAGAAGACGCGAGAAGTTCCGAGAGATTTGCAAGCGAGGGGTGTGGGTCCCTTGAAGAATCCTCAGGAGTGAGGAGTGAGGCTCAGAGGATTTGGCAACTGACCAGATCGGGGGGCTAGGACGAGGAACAATCCGTTCCAGAGCGCTCCAGAACGCTCTCAGAGCGTTTTGGAGCGCTCTGAGACGGCCGCGGCGCCCGAGACATCCTCCAGAATCGCCAGATCTCAAAGATTTTCGATGTATCCTCACCCGGATTGATCCTCGCCCTGGCCTCGGCTTACCTGAGGACACGCCCACTCCGTGCCCAGGGCACGGTGGCGGAGTCGATCAAGGGAGGGAACCTCACAGACCCCGAAACTCGGCGTTTACTCAACGGCCCGCTTGCCGGGAAAGTTCTTCTGGGGGTGGACCTTCTGCCTCTACTCGAATCCTCAAGCGGAACAGTATTGGGGAAACAAGCCGTCGGAGTTTTGGGCCCGACCGCGGCCACGGCGGCGGCGACGACGACCTTTCCCAGGTGGTTGCGCCCAACGCGCGGCCCGGCGCCCACGGCCTCCTTACCGCGGCCTTCGGGTCTGAAGCATCTTATCTTGGGGATCGCTGGTGACTCCCTCCTGGAGGGAGGGAGGTGGAGGGAGGCAGGGAGCGAGTGACGACGACGACGACGACGACGACGACGACGATGAGGACGTTGCCGCCCACGGGGCCGCTGAGCGGCGCGCAGGGCGAGCAGCCGCCCGCTTGGGATGCTCTCAGAGGCCCTCCCTCCTGCAACCATGACAACTCTCAAGCCATCTTGGGGACATGTCGAGACCGCGGAGGCCCACCATATTCAAGAAAAGGCGAGACAATGAGAATCAACGAGCGACGACCCATCCCCCCCGGCAGCCGACGACCACGTTGTCAGCGATGATGGCGACGACCGTCGACGTCGAGCGCCGACGTCGAGGCGTGAGCGCCGGCGTCGACGACGCCGACCACCACCACCACCATCACCGCCGCCGCCGCCGCCACCACCACCACCACCGCCGCCGCCACCACCACCACCGCCACCACCACCACCACCCCTTTTCCGCGCCTTTGGCCGCGGAGCTGGCCGCGGTCGCTGGCGGCGCCGCATGGCCTCTGCAGGGGGGCCCGCCGGGGCGCCCTTGCCTCGCCTCCTCTTCCTGCGGCCGAGCTCGTCGAGCTCGCCGCGAGGCCTCGTCAACGCACGGCTGCGTTGATGCCGCGAGGAGAAGGAGGAGGAGAAGGAGGAGGAGGAGGAGGAGGAGAACGAGGAGGAGAAAGAGGAGGAAGAGGAGAGGAGGAGGAGGAGGAGGAGGAGGAGGAGGATGGAGGAGGAGGAGGAGGAGGAAGGGAGGTAGGAGGAGGAGGAGGAGGAGGAGGAGGAGGAGAGGGAGGAGGAGGAGAAGAGGAGCAGGAGGAGGAGGAGGAGGAGGAGGAGGAGTAGAGGAGAGGAGGATGGGAGGAGGGAGGAGGAGGAGGAGGAGGGTAGTGAGAGGCAGAGGAGGGATGGGGATGGGGATGGGGATGGGGATGAGGGAGCACGAGGAGGGTGGCGAGGAGAAGGAGGAGGAGGAGGAGCAGGAGGATGAGGAGGAGGATGAGGAGGAGGAGGAGGATGGTGGCGAGGAGTGGGAGGAGGAGGAGGAGGAGGAGGAGGAGGAGGAGGAGGGGGAGGAGGAGGAGGAGGGAGGAGGGTAGTGAGAGGCAGTAGGCGGAGGGGTATGGATGGGGATGGAGGATGAGGGAGCAGAGTTGAGGCGTGGCGAGGAGAAGGAGGAGGAGGAGGGCGGAGGAGGAGGAGGAGAGGAGGAGGAGGAGGAGGAGGAGGAGGGGAGGGGAGGAGGAGGAGGAGGAGGAGGAGGAGGAGGAGAGGAGGAGGAGGAGGAGGAGGGAAGGAGGAGGAGGAGGAGGAGGAGGGGGTGGAGGACAAGCTAGGTGCGCTCGCGTCATATCTGACATCCTACCCCTCCCTCCCATCCCTTACCATGGCGCAGATCCCCTCTCTACTCGCACAGTCGGATGTCGAGCAGGGCAATGATCCCGAAAGGGTACGCGATGCATTGTAGAGCACGGCATGGCATGGCGTAGAAGAGCACCGCAAAGCGTAGTATCAACCTAGCATTGCATTGCACGCCGTGGCATGGCACGGGAAATGACGCCAGCGCTACAGCGGGAGCACGAGTCGAAACGAGCGGAAGCGCGGAAATGAGGCCAGCGCTGCAGCGGGAGCACGATTCGCAACGAGCGGAAGCACGGAAATGAGGCCAGCGTTGCAGCGGGAGCACGATTCGGAATGAGCGGGGCCCGAAAATGAGGCCGGCGCCTCAGCGAGAGCAGCATTTTGGAAAAAAATGCAGGCGAAAACCCAACTCCGGGGAAACCTGCGTGTAACAAAAACAGTACGCGGGGGGGGTCGGACACTCCCAGGCCGTCGTCAGGGGAAGAGGGAGAGCAGTATTCAGATCGAGTAAGTGTAGAAAAGAAGAGGAGGAGGACGAGAAGGAGGAGGAGGGCGACGAGGAGGTAGAGGAGAAGGAAGAGATGAAGAGCTGCATCCCCCCGCTGGCCGCACCCAGCTCGCGGCTGCCGACCGCGACCTCGCGGACTGCGTCGCGCAGCGCGAGGAGGCCGCCACGCGACTCGCGGCCGCGCTGCCGGCGTGCGAGGCAGCGGAGCGGCGCGCGGCCGAGGCCGAGGACGCCGGGCCGCGCCGCGCTGGAAGGTTTCGATGGTCGTCGTCGTCGTGGTCCTCGTCATCGTCGACAAAATATAAACATGTAAATATAAATATAAATAGAAAGCGATTGATAGAGAGAGAGAGAGCGAAATGCATACATACGCATACATACAGTGTATAGATAGAACCACGGGCTCACACATATTTCGATGATCGTCGTCGTCGTGGTCTTCGTCGTCGTCGTCGCCGCCGCCGCCGCCGCGGGCACGCACCGCTGCCGCCTAGGACGCGGGGAGGCGCCGTGCTCGACGGTTTCGCTGACCCTCGGGACGTGTGTCGGTCTCGGGTTCTCGAGGGTGGCCGATGGTCCTAGGCTGACGCACGTCCTGAAGATCAGCGATGACCCTCGAGGCCCATCGGTGGCTTCCGGTCGAGCTCCGATGATCTTCATTGATGAGCATCGAGTATCCTTGGTGTGTGTCGATGCTTTTCAGGAAGTTTCGATGATCCTCGGTGGTCCCCGTTCGGCCCCGCCGAACGCCCGCAGCCTGTGTTGGCCCTCGTGATGCCACCCTTGTCGTATCGAAGGATTGCGGTGGACAAGTACGCGTTGGCGCTCACCGACGGATTCGGGATTTGGGTCGTTCTCCCATGCAGTCTCGGGCGACGTGGGCCTCCGAGGTCCCGACCCAGTGTGGTGACGGACCGCGCGGTGACGTCGATGGGGGTCGGAGGTCACCACGCGGTCCGTCACCACACGGTTTGAGGGGCCCGCCGACATTTTTGGAGCGGCATGGCGGTGGTTTGTGCCATCGCGGCCGCTTGCCGCCGTTCTCTGCCGCCTAGTCCTTGTCGCCGCCAGCGCTCTGCTGCCGCCGCCGCCGTCGTCGTCGCCATCGTCGCCCTCGTCGCCCTCGACGGCCTCGTCGCCCTCGTCGCCCTCGTCGCCCTCGTCGTCCTCGTCGCCGTCGTCGTCACCGCAGCCTGTCCATCGCCGCCGCCGTCGCCGTCGCCGCCGCCGCCGTCGCCATCGTCGTCGCCTTCGTTTGTCCGTCAGCCCACATCTTAGCGCCCCTGGATGCTGCCTCTGTCCTACCCGCAAACCTCGCGCTTCAGGGGCAACGACAGGGGGGTTCGGCATAGGGGTGGATGCATCGACCCCCAATTGCCCATTGATCTCCGATAGGGGCCCGATATCCCCAACCTGCCCAGTAAGGTGCGGATCCACTATCGGAGGCCAATCGCCGATCTATCGGCGATGTATCGCCGATTCCAGATCGATGCATCCCCCCTATGCCAGTCCCCCCCTTATCGTTGCCCCTCAGCGCTGTCGGTGCTCCCCCAGGAGAAGCTCGCCGCCGAGCGGCTGGAACGCGAGCAGCTCTCGGAGGCGCCGCGACCAGCAACGACGGCGACGACGACGACGGCGACGGCGATGGCGATGGCGACAGATGAGGCGGCGGCGGCGACGACGACGACGACGACGGCGGCAGCGATGGCGATGGCGGCGACGACGACGATGACGACGACGGCGGCGGCGGCGACGGCGACGATGACTACGGCGACGGCGATGGCGACAGACGAGGCTGCGGCGGCGGCGACGACGACAACGGCGGCGACGACCACGACGACGATGATGACGACGATGGCGGCGGCTGCTGCGACGGCGACGATGACGACGGCGACGGCAACGGCGACAGACGAGGCGGCGGCGGCGACGACGACGACGACGACGACGACGGCGGCGGCGACGGCGACGACGGCGGCGGCGGCGGCGCCCTCCCCGCGCCGCGGCTGGCGGCGGGGGCGCGCCCGCCGCCGAGGCCTTCCGCGAGCTGCAGAGCGCCCAGGCGGCTGGCCAGCAGGACCTGGCCGAGGCGGCGCGGGCGCGGGCGAGGAGGAGGGCAGCGGAGGGCGGCAGCGGAGGGCGGCGGCAGAGGGCCGGCCTCGTCCTCCTCGTGCGTTCGCCCCTGTTTCGCGGGCCCCGATCCCCGGTCCCTGTGCTCCCCGAGTCTCGCTTCTCGACCCCTCTGCGTCGCGATTCTCGAGTCTCCGGCCTCGATTCTCGATCCTCGTCCCGGCCCCCCTCTCGAGAGAAGGCCCAGAGAGAGAACCCCCCCTTCTCACTGGTGCTACGCTGCGGAGGGTCGGTACGACGGGAAGGGGTACGGAACGGGGGGGGGCACGAAGACCGACAGCAGCTTCCGCCCATTCTGAGCAGGACTCGCTGTCGGTGCCGCCCGCCTGCCCAACAGCGGTCGCTGTCGGGCAGGCGACCGACAACGTTCGCCGTTCGGCGCCGGACCCATTTGCTCTATACCATGGGGGGCGCTGGAAGCGTAGGAGGAACAAGAGGAGGATGAGGAGGAGGAGGAGGAGGAGGAGGAGGAGGAGGAGGAGGAGGAGGAGGAGGAACACGCGGCAATGCTGCAGGAGGAGGAGGGGCAGGGAGTCTCTTAGGGGCAGGGCGGGGATGGGCGGGGGAGAGGCCAAGAGGGGGTGTGGACGGGGGCCAGGGACAGAATGCGTGCAGGGGGCTGGGGGGCAGCGTAGGAGGCCAGCGGAACGCACGAGGTGGAGGCGGAGCGGGGCGAGGGCGAGGCGGACGGACGACGACGACGATGACGACGACGAGGATGAGGACGAGGACGAGGATGAGGATGAGGATGAGGATGAGGATGAGGATGAGGATGAGGATGAGGATGAGGATGATGATGATGATGATGATGATGATGATGATGATGATGATGATGATGATGATGATCATGATGATGATGCTGATGATGATGATTATCAGGAGGAGGACGATGTTAATGATGCTGATGATGCTGATGATGATGAAGATGATGATGATGGTGACGGTGATGGTGGTGGTGGTGATGATGATGCTGCTGTTGATGATGCTTCTGATGATGGTGGTGGTGGTGATGATGATGATGAGAATGCTGTTGATGATGCTTCTGATGATGGTGGTGGTGATGATGATGATAATGCTGATGATGCTGATGATGATGGCGTTGATGGTAATGATGATGCTCAAAATGATTATGATGGTGCTGATGAGGATGACGATGACGAAGACGATGCGGATGACGATAATACTGATGATGATGCTGCTGACGATGGTGGTGGTGGCGGTGATGATGGTGGTGGTGTTTGTTACGGTAGTGATGCGAAGGTGTTGTTGAAGGTTTATGTCGATGACGATGACGATGACGATGACAACGACGACGAAGATGACGATGATGATATTGTTATGTTGATGTTGTTGATGATGCGCATGATGATGTTGATGATGATGATGTTGATTATGATGGTGATGATGCTAACGATGATGATAATGATGATGGTGGTGATGATAATGGCGATGCCGATGACGGTGACGGTGACGTGACGAACAAGATCATGATGATGTTGATGAAGATGTTGATGATTGATGCCGCTGATGATTATGATGATGCTGATGAGGAGGAGGATGTTGATGATGCTGGTGCTGATGCTGACTCAGAGGATGCTGATGCTGATGATCATACTGAGTATGACCATGATGGTGGTGATGATGATGCTGATGATACTGCTATGTTGCTGACAATGATGCTGCTGATGCGTGTAATGATGATGCTGACGATACCGATGCTGGCGATTATGATGATGCGGATCATGATGATTGTGATGAGGATGATGTCCATGGTGACGATGGTGATGATGTTGTTGCGCATGATGCTGATGCTTATGATGATGTGGTGATGTTGATGATGTTGATGATGATGTTGACGATGATGGTTTTGATGATGATGATGATGATGATGATGATGATGATGATGATGCGGATGCTGATGATGTTGATGGTGATGATGCTGATGCTGAGGATGCTGATGCTGATGATAATGACGATGCTGATGACGATGATGATGTTGATGATGATGATGATCACGACGACGGCTCTTCTTACAAACGCCGTGGACGTGTCGCTTCCGTTTTGCATGTGGCTTCTTGGCGGGCTAAAAACGAAACGAAACAGACAACGTTCCGTCTTTTCAGCGTTTATCGAACATGCCTACGGCGAATCACCGCCGCCCCTTGCCTTTTGCAATCGCCCATGTGGCCCAGCGTTGTGGCAAGAGCTCCGCCAAACTATCGGACCATGTGTTCCCGCAGCCGTTGTGGGAACCCTTCGGGGAACACTTGGGGGAAGATGGCGTGGAAGATCAGGAGGAGGAGGAGGAGGAGAAGGAGGAGGAGGGGGAGGCATCTTGGAGCCTCTGGG